TGAGAAACATTGGTCTAGGCCAATCTGACCTTCATCTGTTTAATTTTACAAAAAGCAAAGTGATGCTTGGAGGTTGATGGGGGCAACTGTGATCCAGAAAATGGGCTTGGGAGGGTAGGAATAGGGATCCTTCCTGGGATCAACACAGGTGCCAGTCTCCTAAGTGCAGGGGTTTATTTTCACACAGAACCTAAAGGATATAGCTAGACCTTCAGTTGGAGGGGTTGGTACACGGCCACGTGGGTATTCCACATTTAGATGTATCCTTGAAAGCGGCTGAGCCAACACACTGCGTCCCCCAACAAATGCAATCCCGCATTTTGTGCCCCACAGATTGTAAATTCTATTTCCTGAACATTCAGCAGTAGGCAATCTGGTCCTCTGCAAATGTTTCAGATTGCACCTCCCATCATCCGTTGGCACTGGCCAGGTGTGCTGGAGTGATGGAAGCTGAAATCCAAAATATTTGAGGACCACTGGTTCTCTGCCTTCAGAATAAGAGAGGATTGAAATCTACCTACCTTCCTCGATCATTCGCCGTTCTTCCTCCTCTCTCAGCAGCCTCATCCGTTCAGCTTTACTAATCTTGCCACCACCAGACTGAACCCAAACAAAATAGGAGAAAGGAAATTAAATTTTTAAGACACTTCTAAAAAGGACAGACCAGAATGGGGACTCAATATATTTCTTACCAAAACCCCACTTTTCAAATCAGGGCATTGATGACACATAGTTCATTAAGAAACTGAGGAATGGAAGATGAACTGATCTTTATCTTCCCATTTGAAAGATGTGAGTTTCAAATGGGCAACGGAGAGATCCCAGGGGGTCCCTGGGGTCTACGTCTACTCATTTCACATGGGCACCTCATAGCTGCCATTTTAATTTCCCATAATGCCTTGGAGCACCTGGGAAATTAAAATGGTGGTGCTGAATGCCACAGAGTAAGACCTTCTGAATCTCTGATCCAGCAGATCCTTCAAAGGGGGTCTGAAAAGGAGTGTCTCCAGTATTGCAACCCAATCTCTTCCAGATGTTTTGGGATTCAGCTTTATCAACTCTCTTGCATCATCACTGGCAAGAAATTGCAAGAGTTATCCTCCAGCTTTAGGTATTGGAAGATCCACAGTAAAACCTTGATTTTTCAAACTAATATTGGGGTGGGGAGGGCAGTCTGTTAAAGCCAAATGGACTTTAAGCCTGAATTTATATAATGCACATAAAATTCAATGTATGTATTTCTACTTAATTTATATTACATGTACACAATGTACATAACATTTGCATGAATTAAATGAAACAATTTCATTTCAATTTCATTAATTGATTAAGCAGTCAGAATTAAGGTGTTGCCCACTAGATTGAAATCTATTGAACAAGGTCCATAAAATCCGCATTTTACTGTCTTACTTACAATGTCTTTCTCAGCATGAAGACTGCTGCCTCCCCATAGAATGGTGAGAGGTGACTGCGCATTTCCCCTGCTTCCATGCACTCATCTACATATCGGGCAGTAATGCCAAGGTCTCCCAGTCTCAGTCATGATGTACTTTTATCCAAATTTCCAGTTCCTAACTGGAGGAGGCCACTGGGTGGCAACCAGTGCCAGGCAAATAGGGCTTGTCCAGATGTTCCCCAATCCCAGGCATGATCCTGCAACCCCCAAATCAACTTTTGAATGACATCATGAGGATGCTTTCTGGCGTCTACCTAGTGGACTGCAAAACATTGTCCTAAGTATCCCCAGCAGCATAATTACAATGTTGGCACCCAAGAGTCTTCCAGATGGTGTTGGATGTAAGTCCTATGATCCTCAGACAATGCAGGCTTACTGGAGCTATTGGGAGTTGGGTCCTGAACCACCTGCTAGCTACAGGTCCTCCACTGTGGTGCTAGAGTTCCATGAGAGTGTGTTTCATCCTCCCCACAGAATTAATAGTATGGTCAAGAGGAAAGAAGCAAAGTATGGGTCAGGAGATGAAATATCAAGTCAACCTTCAATGTGACTATGGAGGACAGGGAGATGGTGACAAGGCAACATGATCACCTGTTGGGAAGGGGAAAGGCAGGAGGCAGGATGAGATGAGTTTTCCTCAGCTGTCCCAGAGGAAACCCTGCAATGCTGTCTTTTATGTGCTTCCTCTGAAGCAGGAATCAAATCAATAGCAACCCAAGCATCTTGGAAATCACACACAATCATGGTGTGTCAATCTCAGATCGACACAACCCCTATGTCTACAGAGGGTGAAAAACTAACCATAGAAGAAGTATCAAGGCCCTCCAGATGTTGTCGCACTAGAACTTCCAACATTGCACCATTGGCTACACTGGCTAGGGCGATTGGGAACTGTAGTTTAGCAATGTCTGGGGTTGGGGTGGGAGTGGTCAACAAGTTCTCCATTGCTAGTTTTGGGCAAATTGAGGAGGACCAGAGAGACTGTGAACTTGTTAATCATTCATACACTTAAATTTAATGTCATTAGCAATAACTGTAATGTTTACCCTAATGGGTTGAAATGCATTATTTGATCTAACCTGCTTTTAATATAATTTGTTAAAGAAAAGCTACCACAATTTGAAGTTATAATCTATATATAATCTATATCAACATTAAATATGTGAGCTATTGGTGAGTATCCGTATGAGATTAATTTATTTATCTGTCTACCTACATACCTTTTTCTTTTTGGGACCCTAAATGCAGAGAGGAGAAAAAGAACAGAGAAAATCAGAAAAACACAATAAAACTGTCAAGACAGGGAAAATAACTTGAATTCCACAATACCATTGGCATAATGGCTGTGTTCACACAAACACTCAACTGGGTACCAATAGAAGTGAACATGTGTAGCTCAGGGTTGAACTGTGGAGTCCTTGGGGTTCTCTGAGCTTGGTTGTTTTCTTGCTAGCACTGAAGATGTTACCTAGCTGGGTAATGAAACATTTGCAAGAAAACATCCAAGCTCAGAGAACCCCC